CGTCTCAGTCTTGTCGGTTAAATCCATCATTTTTGCTTGGTAGAAACCATACCCTTCACCAGAAAATTTCCTGTAAACCTTGGACGATCCTTCTTGGCGCCCCGGTTCATCCTCTGGTTTTCCCAGCGAAATCCACTATTTTCATCTATTTTCGTGGCCAATCACTTCACCTGGTCGATTCATGACATTTTTGAGTCCCCATTCTTCATTCTTCATGGTCTTCCATCCCCATTTGGTTCTTTTATTGGAAAAAACATTGGTTCATTTCATGATGATTAACATCTCTCTCTCTCTCAGAAAATTGAATCATTATAATCATTATATCCCATAAAAGTGAACCATTATATAATATATCATATATATATATATATCCCATTAGAATGTCATATTTCATGGTTCATATTTCATGCTACCGCGGCACCGTTCGCAGCTCAGGCGTCAGCACCGGCAGCTCCAAGCGTGTGGCTTCCTTCTCGGCGGCTGGGAGGCTGCCTTAAAAGAGGCCCAGGGAGGGGGGGTTCAAAGGAACCAACCCAAAAGATGAGATTTTCATGGGAATTTGATGAGATTTTCATGGGAATTTGATGGGAATTTGATGGGATTCGGATGCATATGGGATATGAATGGATTTCAATGGAATTTCAATGGGATGCATATGGGATTTAATGTGAGTCAAGCAATAAACCACCCATATTTTGATGTTACCATCCATTTATGGTAAAATAAGGCACGGGATGGCACGGGGTACTATTGTGTTACTAACATTCCCCGCAGTCTATATCGGGAGCATGATGATTAACATTGATTACGAAATGAATTTGGGATACCCTCTGGTAAACTAACATAGCTATGGAAAATCACCATTTTTCATGGGAAAATCCACTATAAATGGCCATTTTCAATAGCTATGTTAAATTACCAGAGGGTATGTACCCTGTCTTCGGAAGTTAGGGGAATCGAAGCGAAGCTCCATCCAGGACTCCGCACCGATTCGGCTGCTGATCGGTCGCTTGGACAGGGGCTGGGCCGAGACCATCTCCACAGGAACCATCAGCCTCAGATCATGGCCATATGGGAGCCATATGGGAGCCATATGTAGCTTCACTTAAAGCCTGGTTTTCCAAAGGTAAAAGCAGCCTTGACATGCCTGGATTTTCTATGATTTTCTTGATTCAACATTTGCGGTCTTGTAAAACCTCTAAAATAACCCGACCAGGCCCCGAATTGGGTGAACATGGGTGAGACATGGCTGATCAAATTAAGGTTGAGAAGGATTGCTCATCAGCGACAAGGAGCGACTTTTCGCCAATGAAGTGGGTGGTGTGCAAGCACCTCGGTCATTTCGGAAAGAGACCAGCGGTTGGTAGTTGCCAAAGTTGCCAAGGTCACTTAAACGGAACCCAGCCACGCGAAGATGGTCTAGATACATCAAGAATTTGGAGTACCCAAAAGTAAACAATTCACTACCGGAATGGTTTCAATCTGGAACCCTAGGTCGCGATGTCCGAATTTAAGCCATGAAGGAAAAACAAACCTTCCCCCAGGGCCAATCCCATCAACAGCAAGCGGAGTCAAACAAAGAGATATGACTCACGACCCAACTGAACCAAAATAGTTGACCCACAAAATGAATGTATCTGCCGGTTTGTTGCGCAAAAAAATGTGCGGTGCACGCCAGTTATATACATTCGATCGAATCATGTTTGGAATCTTGGGTTTGTTTCATCGCGCGTTGGTTTTCAGCATTGGAACATGCACGATATAGATAGACATATGCATGGATATAGATTTTACGCATCGATATATTTGGCTCAAGATATACATAGATATACATAAATATCTATTCATAGGGGGAGAGAGAGAGAGAGAGGTATATATATGTGTGTGTGCATACATATATGTATATATATATGTGTGTGATATGGATAGAAACCGATATTAATGCTAATCTAGATATGGCCAAAGGTAGTGGTGCATAGTGTGCATGCATACCATATACACAAACAAAATCAACTCCTTTTGGGGGGTACTAGAGATGCATATTATATTATATATACGTATAAATATATATATATTATATATTACACTATATTACATTATATTATAACTATAACATATATTTATATATATATATGGTTTATGATCTATCTATCTACTTTGTTGAACCCAACCATAAACCCAAAACTTCTCCCAGCATTATGAGTTTTCAGGCCTGGATCTGGCTGTCCTTGCTTCACCTGTGCGATTCTGTGCGGATGATGAACCTATCAAACACCCCCTGACTGGCTCCCAATAATGTGTGTAAATCCATGTAAATCCTCTACGAAACCATGGTTTCTAGGCGGGTGTGTAATATTCGGGGGATGGGATTATTTTGGGGGAACCTAATTTCAACAATAGCAATCCGCGAAGGCTTCGGGGGCTTGACATGGACGGGAGGCACCAAGTGGTTGCTATTCTGGTTTTCATCTTGCAGGCGCCAAAAGGTGTAACAATTAACAAGCCACCAGTTGAAACGTGCCATTTCAGGCCGTTTTCAGCGGCGGGGCAAAGGACGAATTAAAGGGGTGCCGCGGTCGCAGCAACTCCAAATCTCACAGGTGCAAAGCAAGTTCGAATTGTATCTCCACCTACATACTTGATTGAAGATAGAGACCTTCAATGACACCAATGACCACTCTCCAAGTGACTGAAGATTTAAGAGAAAAATCTGGCAGAACTTCAACAACACCATGGTTATTCATGTTGAAACCTACCACTTGGACCATGGCTCGCCATGTTCCAGCCATGCTCCCATGCTCCAAACGCCTAGATCTCACCTGCACAGGTGGTACTCGGCAGCACTACGGTGCTCGCATAGGGCTGGATCAAATGGACAATGAGCTGATCCTCAGAATCATGGGACCCCCAGGGCCCCAGGGCCCCAGGCTCATCGATTGAAGGCTGTATCAGGCACCCCAATCACCAAATGGGATTTAAGAGGATCTAATTATATCATATATACTTAAAATTATATCTATATATATATAGGCAAGCCGCGGTTTGCTCATTGATGTCAAAAATCACTTGCAATGCTGCTGGAAACAGTGGTGAATTCACCGTGAACCTCCGAAAAATCCAAGGAATTCCACGAATGTTCGGCTTTGGGGCAGCTCCTAATGCTGGTCTATCATGTTGGTGGTCACTCTTACCAGGGGAATTTGGCGCATCGGGGCATGGCACCCAAAAGTGGAGGACAGATGGACACGTTTCATGTTTGACTGTGATCTCAATTTTGAGAGGTACACATGGGACGACACGCTTGCCACGTAGGTCGAAAACGGTCAATGGACATCAATAGAATTACAGTATGTTGAAATATCTTCAAAGGCAAAGTACCATCTTCTAGCAGGGTGAGAGAACATCACCTACGGGTGCAAAACCGTAAGTGTAGTGAGTGCGATTTCACAAGATGGGGGTTGGATGGGGTGGGATGGGATGTTAAGGTTTATTGACACTTGCGGGCATCCCTGATGCTATGCCATAAACTCTTCTCTTACACACTCACACAGACTGACTTGATTGTGGGGTGTCAACGTACCATGATGCTGCGCTATAAGATCTTCTCTTACATATTCACACATCCTTGATCTTTCTATAGAACAGGGGGTGAGGGTGTGTTGCTGGGAAAAACAGCTGCATTGACGTGGAAAAAAGAACAGGTGTATAGGCGGATCAACATGTGACGACGCGAGATGAGAGCCCAAGAAATTGCAACACAAATCGCACTGCCGCTATGGGATTTTACCACATCAAAATACAGACCATGTTGCAAACAAAAATGCAGCACGAAAATTGCAAAGGTTTGCTGAGCCAAGTCACCTGGTCTGAGCAATACCTTGGCGGGCGCTGGCTGAAGCAGGCCCATGGGGAGGATATATCTGCCATTCTGTACCATAAACATCCATAAACATCATAAACCATAAACCTTGCTCATTGGAGTCCAAGTTATAATCTACCATAAACCTCAGTTGGACTTATAAACCAACTTAGCTATGGCGCGGTGTTTACCTTGGAGGTCTGCAGCTGGACCTGCCCAGATCTTTTGGGCGCCCGGCTGTGCACCACACATGTCTTAACTTCGCAGTGCCCACATCAATCTGTCGAGGTGCTGAACAGTGTACTCATAGCCCAGCAAGCCACACTGCTGGTCACTGTCAACCTTGGAGGTGCTCAAAAGGATCGGAACTACCACGACTGGGGCTTACCTGAACTGCCCCTGAAAGCGCGATTGCATGGGTCAAAATGCCGGTAAATGCCGGTGAAACGGGGAGTTGCAACCTCTGAGACTTGCATGCCCAGGCAACGGTAATAGAACCAGCCGCGTTCTGGAAGTGTGCGCCCTGGAAACGTGGCAGACGCTACTTATTGCTTACCCCGGGCTGACTCTTCCCCTTGCAGGATCTTGCAAGGTCAAATCTGATGGGGATCAAAAGCTTGCAAGGAACTGGATCGCAGGAGTTCATCAGTTGAGATTAACCTTGCTTTACCAACAGCAACGCACTGGATTTCATCCCCCCGTTTCATCACTACCAACGGCTCATCTGCTCCGTGAAACACCCAAAAGCCTGGCACTCCGCGAAGAAGGAGCTTCCAGTGGCTTCCATGTTGACAGTTCCCGAGTCGCCCTCGACACCTCTGCTGCCCCAGGGAAGGTACTGGTACTCCGATGAGACATGAAAAGGATAACGACTCCCATGTCCACCACCAGTATGCAACAACGAAGAAGAGAACCAGAAAATGATGAAGACGAAGAAGAGGAAGACGAAAATGGAAAGGAAGACAACCAACACCTTAAGTGCCTTAAATAATCCTTCACCTCATTTCCTGATCTGCCAAGCAACTCACCACTTTCACGGAAAAGGAATTGCTGGCCACTGAGTTTCCATAGCACGCAGGGCCGCCCGGGAGCTTCCCATCACCGGTGCAGATCGCTTCTGCTGTCGGTGCTCCTGGTGCCACAAAGGGGCAAAAGAAACTCATGGATTTTCACTGATGAAGGAAAGTTTACAGGAAACAATGGTTTCTACAATGAGAAGGTTCCTGTACATTTCCGTGACACCCTGGGAGATTTGGAGTTCGCAAAAAAAATTAAGCAGCATAGCTAGCCACATCCAGGCCCGAACCGTTCCCGTGACTGGCAGAGTTCTAGGAAGGGCCGGTTGTCCTCGCAACGCAGAAGCATCACCCCTGGCCAAAAAGGGCAGGGCCACAAGTGTGAGTCCACGAAGGAACGCCATGGCGAATCCTAATGCGCCAAGGCACTGGAGCAGCAAAGCTAAAACCCAAAGCCTGATTTGAGCCACATGCATTTGTCGGATGTTGAGATCTGGGCTGGTGAATGCTGGTGGCATGTGGTGACCGTGTCAACTGACGGTCTTGAATAGCGGTTCTTCAGAAATAACCCAATAACACTATTACCATGGAAACCCGTGTTGCCGGGTCCACAGTTTTATGTCAATGCACTGTAATGCCCTTGCCAAAATGCCCATTGATGTTGACAGAACACCCACCCTCACCCCAAGATGGAGCTGCCCAAGACAGTATCCAGTAGCCACATTTTTCCCACAAATACTCTATCAAAGTCCAAAAATTAAAGGTTCCATCAAGTTCCCACAATTCTTCCAATAGCCCGAAATTTCTCCAGAATTGTCTTATACAACCCAGTGGGTAAAGTTCTATGTCTTTTTTTGGGGGGGAGGTGGGTTGCTATATGCCTATGCCTGGCGCCTCCCACCAATCCCCGGCGCCTGCTGTGTCGTGCTCCACCCGTCGCACCACCGGGACAAGCTCTAAAGGAAGGGGCACCCGCCGGGGACCGCATGAGGTGCGCTGCATCCTGGGGCTAAGCCCATCCAACCATCGTAGGTGTCCCATCAAAACATGGAGGTTTTACCATCAAACATAGGGCATTTGAGGTGGCTGGAAGCATCACAAATGGAGAAAAACAATTATTTTTTCACCATCCTGCAATGGGGGAAATGAAACGATGGTTCCAAATCATTAGGAAAGGATCTATATACAAACGTACTGGAAGTTTGCAAGAAACCTTTTTGAAAATTACATGTTTTAAGGTTTTCTTTGCTCCCGTTCGCCAAAGGTTTTGTGCAATTTTTATACATGCTTGGGGATGGACTTTTTTTAACACCGATCAGTTTGGGGTGGATCAACATAGCGTCAAATATGATCTTCTAGGAAATCCGTGGGCTTTGGAAAGCCGGGGGCGCTAGGGTCCGGCAAAGTTTACGGTAGCCGTAGACAAAAGTTATGGGAGTGGAGGTAATTACTAATTACGGTTTCCACGGACTCTCAATACTTGGACCCTCATGAAGTTACTACCAATAAATATTTTACACAAGTGGTGTTGTTTGGCTTCGGCCTTCAGCAGCTTCAATCTCACGAAGAATCCCAGACTGAGAGGAGGACAAGAACCTGGAGCGGATGGCAACATTCCTCGGCCTCAGTTTCAACGGTTTCCGTGTTCAGTGCCCTACACGTGGAACAGCTGGAACCTCCCAAAAAAAATATTGAAACTCGCATAATTCACCACAGCCAGACAGCTAGCATGCTTTGTCGGAAAAAACCGGGTGCCATTTTTCGATATTTTTCAGCGTAGTTTCTCAGCTTGAGCCCTTGGCACATGCAGCACCCTTGAATCAGCACCACCACACGCAGGGCTGGTGTTGGGTCTCAAAGGTGGTTGACCATTTACCACCACTGCCGGGCTGGTCACCGGTCTGCCTCGCAGCGTTTTCAGCTGGATCCTTGGGAGATAACTCGGGGGTTGAAATGGTTTTGCTCCTGGAAATTAAATGGAGTTGAACTGGAGTTGAAAAGGTTTTGCATCGTTTTGCATCGTTTTGCATCGTTTTGCATCGTTTTGCATCGTTTTGCATCGTTTTGCATCGTTTTGCATGGCTTCCCTTCCAGAAACTTTCTTCGGGAACCCCAATGCCGATGGAATGGGACGCCAGAATTCCTTCTCGAGGTGAGGCTCCAGGTCTTTCCGCCAGTGGATGACCCAGATGTGCCTGTAGGGCCACTGGTCTCACGGAGCTTGCCAGCGTCCTAGGGGCAGGAAGACTGGTTTGACATGGTTTGACAGTTGGGGAATGATGGAGGATGGAATGGATGGAATGACGATGGAATGAGTGGTCTGAATCTGTCTCAATTTCAGAAACGGAACCTGACCCTTCAAAGCATCCGTCCTCCCCCATCACCTGCCAGGTTGTTCCATCACCTGCCAGGGCTCCACTGTCATGAATTGATCCTCATCTAAGGTGGGGGTGAAAAAACTCCAAAGCCAGTACTCTCTGGTACTGATTCAATCCGCAAGCTATGACTTCAAGTGCGCTATGTTTCATGATTATGACAAGTAATTGTTGGAATCAGCCACTCTCACCCTGAGACTTTTCCCAACTGACAGGGTTTCTGACTGCTTCCCCACCGGATTTTGACGGCCAAACTCACCCGACGACCAGCGCCTCATGGTTCGGTTCCCATCGCCGCGCTGTTGGGCGCCCAACGGATCCCCGCCCTAGAGCCACCGCCTGAACTCCCCAAGTCAATGGTATGAAAAAGGAATCAAATTTTTAAAAGGATGTATGCTGCAATCATTTCAAATCGATCCAATGGAATCCAAATTTTATCACTTTGATTGATTCTCCTCACATTTTGTCTGAATATTTGGCTGGGTTAGAGAAGGGAGAAGCATAAAAGTTGGGAATGTTGACTCAATTGACCCTTTGCAGGTCGCACTTGGGAGTCTCTCAGGGAGGCAAAGCCTACGCTGCCCAAACCACCCTTTCTGAAATCATCGAGAAATGATTGTTTGGGGGTCCAGGAGTGCAGAAACTCAGGCGGTCCCCCAAAAAATACGTGGATAATGTAGCTATGTTTCGCCTGTTTCGCAGTGACTTCCTGACCACAAAATGAAGACCCAAGCATGGCCGCGTCTTCCAACCAATATGATTCAACAAGCAAGTCAGACAGGAAATCGAAAAAGCATACAGGATATACCCCAGATGTATGTGGGTTGTAACCCACTTACTAAATGGGATGCACCTGCAAGTGCCCACTCCCATTGCCACCATTCAACCCACGTCCTCACAGGTCTACCTGGAACGGCGGAAAGGTCTACACCCATCTCCTTGCAAAGCTCCTCGCGCCTGCCAGGCACGATGTTGAGGGGAAAATTGTGCAGAAATACGATGGTTTTATAAGCTCAATACCTGCAATTGTTTCTTAAACTAGTTGGGGTGATCCCCATAGATGCCATAGATCCTATGAACACATCCTTGAAATCATCCAAGCGGCTTCACCCCGGAGAAAGCCTCTCAAGACCAACAGCTTTGCCAAGGGCCCTTAGTACGAAGCTGTCTGGTACCTTGGCCCAATAAAGCGAGGGAACGAACACCACCTACCAAATTACTAAGAGGTGAAACGAGTCCAAGCAGAAAGAACAGCGTTATGATATGGGATGGGTCAGTTCAACCTGACCTAACCTGGGTTTTTACCCCAAAATAGCTAGCAAACAGGTCATCCCCTCAAATATGGTGCAATAGGTTTTGATCCGTGCCCCACATCCTAAACCCAACCACAATCAACTTGTCCCTGTGGACAGGAATCCCCAGCCCGGGTTGGCTAGACTGAGGCTGCAGCGATTCCAGCATCCAACATCTGCCGGAAGATGTCTTCAGGCTTGGTGTGGCTCTGCTTCCTCTTGGCTCGGCTGGTGGGCCGGTTGGATGGAGCCATGTGGCTGGCCATCAGAAGCCATCCCCACGTCTGCACCTGGGTTTCTCGTTTGGTCAGGGCTTCAGCTGCTACTGAAGCCTCTTCGCGGAAGCAAATTCAGGACATCCAAATCATACCACTGCCAGTCCACTAGGCTCACTGCATCCGCATCCACCTCAGCTGGGGACCAGCAATCCTAGCAATTCATTCAGCAAGTTCCATTCTGCCATGTCTCAGCAAGCTGAGGGGCACACATTCGCCTCTCGCATTGCTTTCAGAACCCCTTCCTCGGTGCGAGTCAGTTGGGGGCAACTCCTTCGCTCATCGCTTCATTGCGGTGGCATCAATCTCTATATATGAAACGGAGGTGACCCAGGTCTGCCGTTTGAAATGGAAAGGCACGGAGGGTTTCAGGCGGGTACTCAATTCACAGTCGATTGAGGGGTTCCATGCAGATGCTAAACGAAGGTGTGAATCCCGTTGGAGGGACGGTGTGATCTCAGGTGCCCAGGCAGCCTCCAAAAGCCTCGACTCCTGGATCAGTTTTGGCAAAAAAACAGGTTCCTTGGTCAGCTCGTTGGCCTTCGGATGTGGCTAAAAAAATTCACCCCATGGTATCGGGGCCTTTTCACATATTTTCACGCATTCCAGGCAATGCAACCCTGCCAACTATTGCTTCACAGTTTCGTAAAGTGCAGCCAGTCCCAAATGCCAAGGGCATCACCAATGGCATGCCCGAGATCTCCTTCGCAAAGGCACTGATGGTGGCTGAGAAGCACCGCCGGCTGGGCGTAAGGCCTGATGGACCCAAGGTGTGGAAGCCTAAGTGGAATATGTTCGTGGACTTCTTCAGTTGGACATATGGAGAAATTCAATATCAAAGGGAGGGGGGGTTCACCACCCAAAAATCCATGATTCATCAACCAGTGATTGCCTGTTTCTAATCTCTTCCCCAGAGTAAACACCCCCAAGAGTCACCAAGGTTTAGTGACCATAGAATGGGGATATTTAATCTTACGGGGTGGGATTGAAATGATTAATGTTAGCAAAGCAATATCAATACCATCACCAAGTTGAGCAAATTAGCATAGATGGGGTGCTATTCACCATATCAAAATATGGGTGGTAACCCTTGCTTCTCTAACATTAATGGTGGTAAAACAAAGTCATAAACCACCCACTGGGAATGGTAAACATACCAGCTATTTATGGTGAAGTTGGGGATGGTTTATGGCATTGTTTTGCCAACAATCACAGTTGGGCCTTTTCGAATGGCATCCTCCAGCCATCTTCGCGCTGCATCGCTTTGGCCGCGCTGAGCCTTCGCGAAAGGCCGGCGGCGCCCCAAGCGCTCGCTTGAACGAAGCCATAGGGGAAAAGCTGTTGGAAAGTGATCTACAACTGTGGCAGTTTCCAGTACCAGCGCAGCCCAAACAATGTATGGCATTTTCTGTTGACGGTCTAGATTACCAAGGGGGTAAAAGACAACCCCCCTTTTTTGTGGCTCAAGTTGTCAAAATGAGTTGTACCCAGTTCGGGGTTGAATCCGCATTGTTGATGTTCTCTCATTTTGCTCAGCATATCTCAGATTGAAATCAGGGACGGGTATTTCAACTAGCTGTAGGGATCATTGCAATATGTGTCTGGCAGTGTCGAAGCTCAGCTGCCCAAAGATCTAAGTCCCAGGCCAGGGACTCAATCACAGCAGCATAGGTGCGCCTCAGTGGGGGTTCTTTCAAACAAACATCTTCTGCAAACATTCCAGAGAAGTATTCCACGAATCCTCCTCTACTGGGCATCAACAAGTCATGGCCAAACTGCACGGAACTTTAGTCTCTTCCCTGGAGGTGCCCAAGTCCCATCTGCCCACCTTTTTTGAAATCAACGGCAGAGGTAAACAGTTCCCGCCAAGAGAGTCGGAGGAGAGACTTTCAGACGGCCTGCGAAAAAGACTAGGACTAGGAACTCCTCCTCCGAAAATCGACTTAAGGCTGGTTATAGACCACAAGGATGGGCACAATAAAGCTCCAGCCCTGCACCGATTCAGAAAAGCCTCTGGGTGCACCAGGTGCCTCTGTGGAGGTGTCCGATCCATGCCACCAGGCAATAACTTTCCCCTTCTCGAGGCAGAAAGCCATGGTCTCCAGGAATTCCAATGTGGTAATGGGTGGAGGTTCTCCATAGAGGAGAGTCACTGAAGAGACCTTCGACTGAGGCAAAGCCCCTTTTTTTTAACATTATATAACTCAATTGATGCAATTTATGTCCTATAAAATTGAATATAGTCGTATAATTGTATATAAATTAAATCATATTGGGTTCAACCACGTTGTATTAAATTCTATTCAATTTTCTTGTGTTGCAATATTATTTCATATCTATATACAACTGAATCTAAAGCGTGTTATTTATTGTAGATAATGATCCACAATATTGTACATACAATATTACACTGCCGTATTAATATAGTTTTGAAACAACATCGATGGCATATTGTATTTGATTGCATTGTCATATAAAATTAATATGATCGGGTATAATCTATGTTGCGCATGGATATTCTACATCTCAACATGCCCCAAGCTTCCTGCACATCCAAAAAGAAACTCAATAAAAAAACATGTCCATGTACTGTCCAGTAATTTCACACGTCTATGGAAAATTGCCCGTTCAAATTAAAAAATACCTCGTAAAAATTCTGATTGTTCATTCCGTGAAATGACCAAAAGGGTAGGAAAAAAATTGCAGATGCCAACAGACATCTCCAGGAATACACTCCGAATCTTCCAGTTCCTTCTCCAGGACAGCCCCACTGGAACGCCCAGGCGCTTCTGCAGGGCTACCTTCACGGCGCCCTCGGGACCGGGCAATGATGCCCAAAATCAGCCAAAGAAAGCAGGAGAAAAGTTCGGAATCGGAAATACCTCATCTGAAAGAGTTTCCCTTCCAGTGCTGGATGGAAGGTTTTTGTTGAATAAAATGGTCGGAATTCTCACCCTTTCGGGCATGGATATCCTTTCATTTTTCTCCTGAACCACTTCTGGGCCGTGGGGATTGCACCTCCAAACTCCTCAGGGACGTTTCTCCGCTGTCGCCATCGAGTTCATCACTCGCCGATGAGATGCACGCGCATTTTCCATCGAGTAGACCTCACACCTCGCGACGCTTTGGTGGGGATCACGGGCCGCCTGCACAATTTTTTCACGACATGGAAGGAGACCAACAGGGGCATCCATCTGGATCCGAATTTCATCCTGGACAGCCCAACTCTAAGCCTTCACATGGTCGAAGTTGATGCTGATCCAAAGCCTGTTGGGTTCATCTCGAGTTTGCTCAGGTAGAAGCTCGCCAGTAGCCCCAGACATCATGGCACATGCCGGAGGTGCGAGAAGTTGCGGTCGGCTTGAGCCAAACGATTCACGCTCAAGTAGGACCGCAACATGATGCGCTCAAAAGGGATCACCACATGATACCACATGTCACACCCTTGTATCAGTGATGCGTTGATACTGCCTTACATATGGGATTTGCCTGCCTGGGGAACAAAAACAGTTGACTTTGGGCCCATAGCCCATTGATTTTCATCTAGATTCACAAGCTAGGTCAGCGCATGTCAGCGACACGAAATTTCGAAACACGAGTTTGTTTATGTTTATTTCTCTTTCATCTCTTTCCCAAGCTGAGGCAACCACATTTCCACCGGAAGGTCGAAAGATTTCCTGAGGCTGAAATCGGCTGCAAGCATGAAAGTTGTTTCGAAATGTTGCTGGATTCCTCTGGTCTGAAAACCTTCTCCTACCAGTAACAGCTTGAGTGGCAGTTCCCCATCTCGTTGATGGCATCAAAAGGCCGCACCCGATTTTTGCACACGCCGAAAGCGTTGCCACATGGACCCATTTTACAATTTACCGCTTAAAAAAAAACACGGAAACTATAGACTATATATAGGAAACCCCTGAGAATAGTTTCATTTTCTCAAAGGAGTCCTTACAAATCCACAAGCCTAGATTGCTTCACTGATGCTGGGGTCCTGACATGTTCTTCAAATACTCTTGGGCCTTCTCCACTTCCCCGCGTTCTGCAAAGGTCTGGGCAAGAAAGTGGAGGTGGGTGCGCGTTTAACACATAGATGTGCGTATATTAACATATTGTATGATATTTTATATATACATATATTATATACGGTAATGCGTGTATACGTATGAACTCGGATATTTGATACAGCTTTAGTATTGTATGAGAATTCACTGTAAAAAAATTGAGGGGCTCGAATCCAAGGCGGGCTACATATGTTCAGCTATACCAAGCACATAGCACTTTAAGAATTTGAAGGACCCTGGAATAGGATTGCCAAATTCTCAAATTGACAAATTCTTAAATAAGCATTGAAGGGACCCTGGGCCTCAAGTTTTTGGATTTTTGACCAACTCTCGGGTTGTTCCGTATATCTCACATAAACATGGATAAACACAGATAAACTGTATTGCACACTGAATGTGATGAGTTTATCCTCTGATCCCTCCCTCTACTCCATCCCTGGAATATGAAATTGTCCACGTAGCACGAGTTTGCCCACCAATGAGGCACACCCCAAATTTCAATATGAATGGGTTTCACTGTAGACATTCTACCAGTAGTACCGCACAAGGCGGTGGCGGAAGTTTCAAAAATAGGAAACTTATAGGAGACCTTGGTTGTTGTGAATCAGGGACGGCAGAGCGAAACCACTGATGGACTGAAAGGTGCTTGATCTCTCTGTCTCTCTTTTTTGTTTATCTTTCTCTCTTTTTCTCTCTGTTTCTCTATCTTTTTGTGATTATCTACCTACCTACCTACTGATCTATCTGTCTGTCTGTCTATCTATCCATCTATCTATCTCTCTATCTATCTATCTATCTATCTATCTGTCTGTCTATCTATCTGTCTATCTATCTATCTATCTACCTATCTATCGATCTATCTATCTCTCTCTCTCTATCTGTCTATCTGTCTATCTGTCTATCTGTCTATCTGTCTATCTGTCTATCTGTCTATCTGTCTATCTGTCCGTCTGTCCGTCTATCTATCCGTCTATCTGTCCGTCTATCTGTCTATCTATCTGTCTATCTGTCTATCTATCTGTCTATCTATCTGTCTATCTGTCTGTCTGTCTACCTATCTATCTATCTATCTATCTGTCTGTCTGTCTGTCTGTCTGTCTGGTCGTCCATCCATCTATCCTATCTATCTTTCTATCTGCAGGATCAAAAACGAAGAAATTCTGCGAGAATTCCTTGATGTTTGAACATAACAACGGCCAAAACGAAACCATTCTGCGAGACGTCTTCATTTCTTGAACTTGACAACATCCGAAACGAAGCAATTCTGCGAGACTTCCTCATTTTTCGAAATTGAAGACATCAAAAACGAAAGAATTCTGCGAGACTTCCTTCAAAAATGGAAAGTTGAGTGCAGCGCTGGGAGCCTCGCACCAATGCGTTTTGCGATTTTTCCACTCCACCTGTGTAAAGTACTGTGCCTGCCACGAAAAAAATTGATGCCAGGTCTTACGACGTGCTGCACCTGTCACGCAAAATCATCTCAGCAAAACTGAAGATCTGATGCTCCAAAATGCAACCCCTCTCAGGAGCGCCCTGACCTCCGAACATCTCTGATGAACGTGTCTTTTGTACGGCACCTGCCACGCGAAATGCGTCTTTGAAGATCCTCTTCAAATGCCCCACGCCTGCCATCGCTTCTGGAAATGCTGCAAAACCGTCACGTTTTGCCCACTTTTGACAAGGGACACAATCCTTGGCGCCTGCCACGCAAAACGACATCTGAACCTCCAAAAGCGGCGCGAACATGTGGTGCTTTGTACATTTTCACTTCGAAATGTGTTTCGCGCCACAACGGCGTGCACTTTTTCGACATCGCAACTTGCAAAAGTGGTGTGAGAATGGTGTGTTTTGTACATTTTGACTTGGAAATGTGTTTCGCGCCACAACGGCGTACACTTTTTCGATATCTCAACTTCCAAAAGTGGTCCGAGACCCAGGTGTTTTGTACCTTTTCACTTCAAAATCTGCTTCGTGCTACAACGGCGTGCAACTTTTCATTTCTCATCTCCCCAGATGTCTCCGCATCCGCCGCTTTAGCAAGCCTACTTTTCGACTTTCGACCCTCCGGAGCCACAACACATCGAAAAACCACAGTGCTTCGCGACTTTCCTACCTTTTCGCACACCTGCATTTTCTTTCTTCTGATCTTTTCTCTTCTGACTTTTCTCCCACTGACTTTGCTCCCGTCTGGCTCTTCGCACCTGTGTTTTTTCACAGTGTTTCGCGACTTTCCTACCTTTGCGCACACCTGCATCTTCTTTCTTCTGATCTTTTCTCTTATGACTTTTCTCCCCGCTGACTCTGCTCCCTTCTTCTAACTTTTCTCCCCTCTGACTCTGCTCCCGTCTGGCTCTTCGCACCTCTGTTTTTTTCATCTGTCCATACTGTCGGAAGTTTAACTTCTAAATTTCCTTCGATGATATTCTCCCCTCTATCCCAAGCGCCATGGGACGCGCTATTCTCAGAGAGACTCATGTAGTGTAGGTGAATCAACTATGTGCATGGGTGCACACATAGTTCTGCGCGGACATCGTGGACAAAACTATAATGACGCATTCCAAGAATGTCATGAGCGAGAGCCACTGTTTTTGTGCACATCCGCTGCCATGCTGACTACTTAGATGATATATTTGATTGAAATATTGCGATGATGCTTATCAACTTGCCACACCTCATGTTTCCCGGTGTCGAACTTACAAAAAAAAACATCCCAACTATTACCTATCACCGTCAAAAGCCATACATGCCTTATTTTTTTGCATATTGTTCACTTTTTCTAGTGCTTCGAGCAGAAAACCCACGAGGCCTCAGCCAGGGATCCATAGGAAGCTGCGGATGGACGCCGCCCTTCCGAAGCCAACTCTTTGGCATGTACCTAGGTCGCGACCAACGCGGTTGCCCCTTGATTCGCCCTTGCATAAAACATGGATACCCATGGCTCTTTAATTATCTCCAAACAGGTAAGCTAACAATGTTGATGGCGTTTTTGTGTGCGCATGTTTCCCCATGTGTGATTGATTGAAAGTCCAGCTTGAAAACACGTGGGCGCCTCAACCTCAAAGCAAACCCAAAGTTTTTGACATCCCCCCAAAAAAAAAGGAAAGAATTGGCTCTGCATGTCAAACCGTTGCGCGTTACCACCGGGGAACCTCAAGAATCATCTCACCTTCTGTCGCCAAACCTTGAAGACAATGCGCGGCCACTATCGCCTGTGGTTTCGATATCTTCGATGGTTCCACGGACATGCGCGCACCGAAGTGACAGATTGAAGCAACATAATGTGTGTCATGAATTGATATATATGTAAAAATGGATGCAAACTGATACACGGCTTCGTCAGGGACCCAGGGATGTGTTGCAAGTGGAACATGCAAACCCAGATACCTAACACTGCCTCGTAGCAGTTTGGGTCCAAGTCCACACCACATGCGCCTGGCACAAGATAAGTATGGCATGGGAGGAACAAACATGAATTTGAAACATCCGCGAATTTTCATGGCATCAATCCCTTCTTCCTCTTATTAAAACATCCCCCAAATAATAAAAATTACCCCAAGTGGTTCCATTTGGGAAAATCAAACTGATCAATTTGATTTTTAATTTTTATCCTTGGAAAACAAGGTAAAATATCAAGGGGCAATTTTGAAACGTAACCTTTGGCAAAACATATTCACTAGATTTAAAAAAATGTTCGATTTTCAAACCGAATAAAATAATTCTTGAATCAAACTCTTACATTTAATATTCAGGGAAAGTTCCGAAATCCAATTTTGGGCAATATCGTGCTTACGTCTTAAAAAAGAAACAACGATTTTGACTGCCAAAGTTTCAAATTTTTGAAGTAGAAGTAGAAAACTTATATTGGGGAAAATTTCGACAATTATTGTTGCATACATATGTTTTCATTAAATTTCACAGGGAATTTGATTGATATCAGGTTTTTCTTCGGCATCATTTCACTACAGGCAAATTTCGATCCGTAACATGTTTTCGCACCTTTTTCTAAATGACGATCCTGACAGTCCAACGGTTATGCTAAATGTTTCTGAATCTTTGAAACTACCGATAGGTAGTCCCAATTTGTCCCATCTAGTGGAGGGGACTTGTAGCACAAGGGCGAAAACATATTCTAGGGTTCAAACGCATTTTTCGTAGCCATCTTGATGCCAACAAAGGATCCTCAAAACATAGTTCGGTCGCAGTACCCTCGCCGTGGAAAATCACAAACTCTTGCACGTCTGAGTTTCGAACACCCGATTCCGCAAGTTTCGACAACAGGTCTTGGCACACAGCCTGCGAATCGCACCGCCACTATCGCTTCCCCAACGTGTCATGAATGAGATCAATAAAATCCGGAATCGATGCCTTGTCTGCGGTCCGGATTTCCAAATCTGAATGAATTTGTGCGGCCAGGTCTTCGAAGTCGCTGCCGGCCTTGCATTCAACACGGTCATCCAAAGGAAACAGAAGAACAAATCAGAAATCATATTGAATGCATCTACACCGCACCGATCAAAATTTGAGAAAACAAATTGTTGGTTCATGGGGTGCATGAAATGATTTTTTTTTTGATTTGTTTACCTTTTTTATATCTCAGGCCCCCTACCGGAAACAGGTCGGCGGGCCTCATCACAAGGAATGCTACACCGAATGGAAGGCAACAACAAATGTGGTACACAGAGCTGGTATTGGACATGTTCGATTACAGTAACCGTCAAAAACTGTTTTGATTCTTGCCCGATGTATGCAACGAACACGGCTTGTGCCACGGGAAAGCCTCATTTTGTCAGAAAGAAGTAAGAACATGGTTTTGCAATTCACTGAACAGATCATCCGTGAAAATAGGGCATATCTGAGAGTTTACTCAAGAGTCGACATGAAGGTGGTGTTGACATGGGTTTCGAAAGGACACCCTGGCTGTACTGGTGTGTGCATCAAGAAAAGGGGCGCAAACTCCGCCACTGGTGGCAGCTGCACGAAAGGGAAGCCTTTTGTGGAAAACGCCTTTAATTGGGTTGGAAAAAACGGTTGCGAAAATGGCTGGTAAGCCGTCAAAAACTAAGCAGCCCTCCCTGCACGTCTGCAAAGCTCACTGGGGCCAAAGAGGTTCAGATGACATTCTCCCGTGCTGACATCGCCTCGATTCTATTGGCTCCCTGCGCAACAAGCTTCGGACCAACAGCACTGCACCATGTGGTTGCTTGAAGTAACGGCACTGCGGCACAGCAGTGCTGCCCGCTTGCTTAAAGCACAGCACCGCGGCGCCGCAACGCCGCTCGAGCCCGGTACGACCGAATGGTGACCCCGAGCTCTTGGAGCAAGAGGCTGGTGCATGAGGCCGAATCGTCGCCAGTGCGGGTGGCAACCGCACGTGCCACATGGTGCAAAATCTTCACGGCCCCGGCATCCCAGGCGCAACTACACTCAGCAACCATCGGAACGAATAGGCTTCTGCAGCCGCGCCTGCCTGCCGGCTGGCCAACGCGAGGGACTCCTGCCGCTGCGGCCCCGTGATGGCGAAATCAAAGGCAGTAGGAGTCCCTGCGAAGGCGGGCAACTAGACATCTGCAGGGCGATGCCCAGAAGTATTGTTGGTCACGTCCTCTGGAGTAGTCGGCAAAAGCAAGCCGGGTCGCTCCCGCTCTGGGCGCGGGCCCCCACGCTTGCACAAATCGTAGATCAAGTCCCGAGTGTCGCTGAGTCCTCTCTCCCCCAGCAGCGCACATGCCGGCATGGTAGCTGTGGCAATCCAGCACGGCATCGCAAAGTGGGCACCAAGCATCACTGTCCGCTTCAGCAACCCTCAAGCGAGCTCAAATTTCAGTCACAAAAACCGCTGGCTCCATTTGAGTTCGGCCGGATGGGACAGCACTGAGAAACACCCGGCCCCCCACTGACGCTTCTGAAATGCCATGTGCCCACAACATGCTACATACAAATGGATATACCATACCATCAAGAGAGTGGTCCTGTTCCATTTTTTCTGCTCCATTTTTCTGCTGCGAGATGCCTGTGGAATCGGTTTGCGGTAGGTTTTCCTGAGACGCGTTGCGCCCCTAATTTTCCGCATGATTTCCTCGCACTTGTTCCACGTTCCCTGTCCCACGTCCCGGAAAAAATTTGGGAATGAGTTTCCTCGAAAAAATTGATTGTGCATTTGAATTTTCGGGCATCAGGCTGCATCACTTTGAGATAAAAGACATCAAAGTTCTCAACACCTGAGTGGCATCTTTCACCAGCAAGGAGGTGTCTTGCGGCAATCAAACACATCTGAAAGCAATTCGCTGCATAAATGAATCACTTCTTGCTGCACGTACCCACAGGCCGGGGTTCTGCGGGAATCAACCGCGTCGGAAGGGTCGCACAAGTTTGCATCTCTTTGGGCCAGAAAGTGTGTGCCATGTGCCACATTCGCTCCCAACTCAACCGGCGTGATGCCGAGGGTTTGAAACGTGACGCGAAGGTCTAAAATCGAATAAAAAGGATGAGTAAGGCAGTGTCGCCAAGTCTGTCCTCGACTTCAAACCCGCCCCAGTCCAGGGGATACCCAACACCGTGATGCCGCCGTTTGTTAAATTTGATTGAAGGACCGTGAAATAGGGCATTGTCGTGAACGATGAAGCCGAACGATGAGGCCAACCTCAATGCGAATGACAGAACTTAGATGATTGTTCATGTCTTTCTTTCACTACGCAGATTCAAACTGTGTGAAGAAATAGGCGTTTTTGTATTTCGTGCGTGGGGAGGATGCCCGATGGGCGTGAAAATTGGAAGCGTTGCTCACGTTCATTGACGCAGGTCTCAAGCCGTATGACAGGCATGGTTGATTCCGGCGTTTGTTCCGTCATTGAAATTCCGCCACCGCACATCTTTGTCCCTGGAGAGCACATATATTTTGACACACCGTTTTCCACAGCACCAACCCATAGCCTCGTGCACCGGCGAACCCGGGAATCACTTGTTGTCTAACCTTGTCCAACTACGTCATAGCTTGTCTATACACTGCACAACCACTCTATTTTATTTTGTTGTTTTTCAAGTTGTGTCTGTTTGGCCGTGCTATGAAAAAATTGCGAATTCAAGCATTGATTTTCCGTTGAAAGCCTGTTTCGGCAACAAATGCCGTATCCTCCGTCTGCCTCGGCGTTAGTTTTGTTTTCCCCATCGAAGTCCGCTCATTCCAGCACCGAACAATATTTTTTCCGCATGATGTCCATTTCCTGTGCCCGCCGACCCGTCTTAGGTAGCAGGGTGTCCGTCTCTGGGGCCCGCCAACCCGTTTTAGGCGGCGGGGGCAGTCTGGACGGGCCAGCCGGGACGTCAAAGCGAGTCTCGGCCAGGAGGTCCGGCAGACTCGGGATGTCCCCGTCGATCGTGTCTCCGTCGCCACCGCCACTATGCCTGTCCACCGGGCAATCCAACCGGCGCAGGCCGCAGCGCGCAGCCAGTAAGAGGCATCTTGACTTCTTTGTGTGGCAAGGTGGCGGACGAGGTTGCGGGTTTCAACTCCCCAGCGGCCTCCTACTTCAACGCCGAAGACCAGGAGGCGGCACCGGCTGCGTGCCGCCAGGAGTTCGGGGTATCTACGGCGTTTGCGGGCGACTGCGGCGGCTACAGCTCGCCGTGGTTCCGACGTGGTGCCTGAGTGCGGGAACCCGGCTCTGCTGATGGGGCTGACACACGTCGTGTCTATGGCCAGCTGTTGGCCGTGGTACGCCTGCAATCCATTAGCCACGATTTCAATTCGGCGTCCATCGGTGATGGGGCTGGCAATGTTCATGTTTGCCACGGCAACATTGCGAGCTACTCGGCCTCCCGCTTCTCGGCAGCTCCTGGCCACGGCGGTTTCCAGCGCCGGGGCTGTCGCCGCCAAAGCGCCGGTTGTGGCGCACGCGCCCCGGTGGTCGCCATACTGGTCAAGGTCATTGCCACAGCCACACCGCTTTGGTGCGATGGGCAATGGCATCCGGAGGCGGCGCAACAGGGCCACACGGAACCAAAAAAGGTGTGGACATGAGCCACTACCACCAACTCATCAGTCCCATCCTGGTTGGTCAGCCATGCGTACAAGAACCCTCCCGACCTGTTCATGCCGGAGCGTGGCAACATGACTCCGTCGAAGGTGTCGACCTCGTACGGATTGCCTGGATCGAAGATGCTGCCGACCCAGATGTGGAACGTCACGCGGATGTTCCAGTTGTACCATGGCTGCCGCGGATGTTCCAGTTGTACCATGGCTGCCACACACCAGTGGTGTGGTGGAGACCTCTGTGGATGTTGCGTAACAGTGCGCGATCAAGTTCGAACTCCCCAGAGCTCAGGGCCCAACGCTTGCTCCAAGAAGACCCAGAGGTTGTCCAACGTCCTTCTCATTGCACATACCATCCAAGATCGAAGGACGGCTTGGAAGCGAACACCTTCATGGGGCCCAGGGACACCCACCCTTCTCAAGGAGTTGAGTGGAACTTCCCCCGTCAACATCAGTCGACTGTCTGCGATCAAGCTGAGCATGAGGGAGTACGAGACATTCACCTCTTGTAGCATCAGCTGTCCGAAGTAGCGCATGGGGAAGGTCCCGTCAGGCTCCACTCCGTAGTTGGGCCTAGGGCGTCCGAACGACCTCCAGTTGGCATCCACATCGCCCAAGGTCAATGCTTCTGCCCAAGCCAGAACCTGCGCATCAGATGCCACCGTCTGCGAAGGGCATGGCATGGCGTTCCATGTTGTCAACGCCTGTTCAGCGTGTTCGTAGGGAAGTGGTCCCAGTCCATGGTTGACCCACCCGACACCATGTCCCACCCTTGCATCATCAGCAGTTGGAAGTCCAACTGGGACTGGGGCACCGAAGGCATCTGCCAGGTCCCTCTGGTCCCAGATCCATCTGGTCCAACGCCAAGGTTGCCTCCTTGATGGGATGGTCTCGCCCACTGGATCCACGAGACCGATGTGGCGAGCTGCAGCGTAGGCGAAGGCTCCTCTGTAAGAACAAGCCCATCCTGTGGCCATGCCATCGGCAGCCCCTGTGTACAACCTTGCTCTTGCTGCTGCTCTCGTGAGTTCTGGCTGCCGATGCAACTGCTGCCTCTCCAACTCTGAAGAGAAATTGGTGCGCAAGGTGGGTTGGGAAGCAGCTTGCACCGCCTCCTGCGAACGAGGCCTCTCCCGAACCTGTGGCCCAGGCTTGCCATCTTCCATGCCAGCCCAACTGTTCGCAACGATCTGCTGCGCTTCTTCCAACAGGTTCGCTGCTTGTCGCTGGCGTGCGTTCCCCGTTCGTTGGACCAGGCCCTCAAGCGAGTCTCCAAACTTGGCGATCTGGTCCTGTGTTGCCTTGCTCGTTCTGTTGAGGTTCGTTGTCATGAGGCGGTTCACCATCGTCGGGAGGTTTGTGAGGTGTTGTAGAAGTTCGTGTGGTCTCGTTGGAGATGTTGGCTTGTACGTTACCTGACTCAGCTGTGAGTTCGTTCCCTGCTTGTGTTGCAACCGTCTGCTCCTGTTCCGCTATCTCACTCTCTTGTTTGCACGTAGTCTCTCTTGTCCTATTGTTGCCTTTGTCTCCTGCCTTCTTCCCCTAGCAATAAATTAAGCGATCTCATCAACAATTTCGATACACTATCTCACGATC